CTGAACCCAGGAGTTTTATCTAGACTTCTTTTGAGAGAAAATATTTTTCATGGCTCTTTAAACCAAGTAAAGCTAAGGTTTCCATTACTATAACTAAAGGCATCTTGGTGGATATAGAAAGCAAAAACATTACCAGGTATCAAATACACTGCAAATGCTTAAACAATGTAATGGACATACTGACTCAACTTTGGTCATACTGATTTAGCTCTCAGCCACCAAAGCAAGTTTATGTGACAGTACAGAAAACACAAGTTCAGAAACTTCAAGGCATGAATCCACAGCTTTGCCTTAGAAAGTCATGTACGTTTTCTGCTCTTGCTAATTCACAGGAAATGAGATCATAATCTATTCAAAGAGTCTGCACTATATTTTTAGTCAATCCCAACTACCCACCTCAATCTGTTCACTTAAAAAACTTATATGGGTTTTAGCATTTGCTTTGGAATACCATTCATATTGTAAATATGGAGGTGGTAGTCTATAAGTAAAGTAACCCACCTAAGAATAGCAATGAAGGGCTGGGGAGATAGCTCAGCGGTATGGTGCCTGCCTGGCAAGCACAAGGTCCTCAGTTCGATTCCCAGTACCAAAAGAAAAAAAAGGAAAGAAAACCAGGTATGGAGGTGCATACCCATCATCTCAGCACTCTGGGAGACTGAGGGAGGAGGACGGCAAGTTTGAGCACCACCCGGGCAATTCAGTGACTTAGTAAGGCCCTGTCTCAAAAAAAAAATTTAAGGGTTGGGGATATAGCTGGCAGCAAAGGCCCTGGGTTTGACCCCCAATAGTGAGAGGGAAAAAAAGAATAAGGCAGATAAAGTATTATTATAACCAATAAGACTATTTTTAAAAGATCTCAGGTTTTTTTTTATTTTTATGGATTCATTAGGAAAAAAAAAGACAAAGTAGACAATGTTAAAATGTTCACATTCTATCCAGAGCTGCCATGCAACTTCCCTTCAAAGCGACGTAGCTCACTAAACACTTACTAAAATCTGCATTCGTTTCCTATTGCTGCTATAATACACCAACATAAACATAGTGCTTAAAACCCTAGAAATTTATTATTCACAGCCCTGCAGGTCAGAATGGGTCTCACTGGGCTAACCCTGGCACCGGCTGGGCCGCGCTCCTTCTTGAACCCTTGAGAGCCCATTTCTGGCCTTTCTAGCATCTCCAGACTCGTAGCCAGCCCGGCTGGCCACCACATCACACCACCTTCACTCCCCTCAACACCTCTCCCTCTCTGACTCTGATCCACCTCCCTCTTATAAGAATCTCTGTGATTACACTGGGTACGTAGATAATTCAGAACAATGTCCCCATCCCTACCTCAAGATCCTTAACGGGGTCACATCAGCAATGTGCACCTGGCCACAGAAGGTAGCGTGCTCAGAGTCTCCAGAGATCAGAACATGAACACCCGGAGAGCCCCTGTTCCGCCCACCACAAATCCAGCACAAATACGGACCTGACCTGAGAGCACTCAGAAACTGGACCGATTAATTCTGACCCAGAAGTTGTTACTCTTTTTGAGTTACAAGAGGACATATCCCTTAACCCTCCAAGAAGAAGCTGGTGAGCCAATAATATTCTAGACTCAGACTAGTCAAACACAATTTCCAGTAGAAAAAAGACCAACTGGAAATAGACATTCCTTGTTTTTGCTTTCTACAAAACATGTAACGCTTAAAAACAGGCTAGCAAAATGAATTTATTGAGAAAAGTTAAGGAAAAAAACAAGAGACACCTTGGGAAATAGTAAATTATAACAAAAAAAAAAAATTGAAGTTAAAAACTCAGGACCTGCAGAAATCCCTTTTAAAAGCATAACAAAGGTGTCTTGATTACTTTTCTCTCATTGCTGAGACAAAATACCTGACACCCAAAATTAAGGAAGGAAAGGTTTATTTCGCTTACAGTTTATGGAGGTTTCAGGCCATACTTGACCAGCTCCAAGGCAGAGTGGCACATGGCACACAGCAAGCATTCTTGGCTCATGGTTCATGGCAGCGGAAAACAGCAAAAACAACAAGAGCAAACGGGGAGGGGAGCAACAAGTCCCTTTCCCTCCCTTAAATTGCAAGCAGGCTGCCCCACCCAAGGGGCATTCAGCACTCACATAATCTTCATACCCTCCTCCTTCACAGGCTGTGGATGAATATAAAGTGAGGACCCTGGCTCCCTGCTAAGTCATTTATTTAACTTTCTAAACTTCTCACACTGACACAATGGACAACATCCTAGAGCAGGAAGGATAGGTCCTTTTTCACCCCAGGATGCAGAACTGCTGAGTCACTTAGCCAAACCTCTAAACTCCCCAAGTTGACACAATGTATCAACCATAACAAAGGGGATTAAGAAAAAAGCTGTAAAATGTACATGTAACAACTTCTCAAGGTGATTGTAAACTGCATGAATTATAAATATGTACTAATAAAATAAAAAGAATAAATAAATAAATGCAAGCATAAGAAATCACTAAACTGGTATCACTCATTTATGAAACTTTAGCTGTGCATGGGGACTGGAGTTAGGAGGCAGGACAGGAGGACTGCAGAGCTGTTTGTCCTGAGTTTTGTGCCTGACACACCCTAAGATTTAACTATTAGCTAAAAACTGGGAACAGTTCAAGGGTTTATCAGCAGGTAACCAGACACAAAGTGTGGCAATTCCCACAACAGAATATTACCCAGCCATAACAAAGGACAAATTATGGATACAGTTGAATCTCGGTGCCCAGTGAAACAGGCCAGGTACAAAACAGTATAGAAGGGGTGAATGTTTACATTAAAAAACCCTACCACAGTAAAAGGCACATTGCCAAGAACAAAGGGATTACGTTCCAAGTGAGGAGGAAACATCTGGAGTATTTTTAGGGAGATTAATGACAATGTGTCTTTTACTGTAATACTCAAAATGACCAGGCAAGGTAAACAGTTTGAATCCGTTCAGGACATCAAGGCATCCTGGACAATACAACTAAAGACGTTCATGAAAAAGGACTTCCAGAGCTGCTTCAGAAAGCAGCATGACTGATGGGATGAGTGTGTTTGAAGGGAGGGACAACGTTGTGAGAGGGATTAATGGCATTAGTGTTTTTACTATAAAAATTTTTAAATTTAAACATTCACTGTATACTTTGATCACATCTCCCATACCATATGGTTCCTCTACACAGAATTCTAGAAACTGTAGATCAATCTACAGTGGCAAAAGTCCATAGTGCCCACTGGAGCCAGGACTACAAAGGGCAGCCAATCCCAGAGTTGGGGTGACGGGAAGAAACGTCTGAACCATTGACTGGGAAGGGGATCATGGGTGACAGTACCCAAAATACACTGAACTGTGCACTTCAGTGGGTGCGGTTTACATGTGCTACACTCCAAGAAAGTCGGTTCCTTAAAAACCTGACTACTAAATTTGTGTCGTGACGCATAACAAGGCCACAAACAAAATGATCATTGCAGCTTTGAACCAACGCCTCTCCCTATGTTTCTAAGCTCCACAGTCACCCCAATGACTTACAATTATCCCTCCATGGCAAGCCCATTTCCTGCGGGAGAAAAGCTGGTTGCTTTGACCACGACTCCAGGGGTAGATGTCAAGTGAACTCCTTACTTCTGTAACAAAGGCAATTTCTCCTGTCTCTCCCCCACCCACACAGTTGTATCTCCAGCAAAGTGCTCCAGTTTCAAATACTCATCCTACCCATACTAAAAAGACTATGTAACTGCACAGGACACTTCCATACTACGAAGTCCCCAGCTATCAAGTCACTTTTATGTGCAGATTTCTGTCTTTGTCTCTAATTTGCTCTGCAGTAAATTATATCCCCAGTTTGCATTTTATGTCACTCATTTCAACCTGTATGTACCGTTTTGCTTACTAAATATTTGTTTACTTCTTACAGACCAGAGTTTATATTATTTTATTTTATAACGTGATAGTATAATATTTGATGCATTTAAAAGCTTTTTTATTTATTAGATACTTTTTAAAGCAATTATTGCTGAAAACATGTTTCATATGCTCAGAAAATTATTTGGCAAATATTGGATCCACAGTAGTAATACCCTCTGGCTGCCTCCTGGATGGTCATCCTTTATTATGCTCTCTCTTTACTGTAAGGATATTCCACAGAAAATCCCAGCTACACTTCAACTACAAATTTTATGCCAATTTCTATGGTAATAATCCCATAATTACATTCAAAACAAATTCCTACAACTGACATTATCCATAATAAAATATGCCCAAAACTGGTAACACGACTCTGCAGCTTACTGTCTGCCACACTGAAGATATAAACAGACCCAGATGCTGGAGAGTTTTAAAGAGGGGATTTCTCGAGACAAGAGGGCACTGACACCTCAGGTCCGGAGAGAGCTGTGTCACTCAGAGCTGACTACTGTCTCCCCTGTCAAGGGAGAAAAGCGCCACGCTGGGGGCCCTCCCCAGGGCGGGGCATGCGTGCCGAGTCAAGGGAGAGCCCAATCCAGGACTCACAGCAAACACGAAGCGAACACCCCACACAAGCAAAGTAAGAAGAGTCTGTCTGTGCACTGACCGCGGGGATGAGGCCGTGTCTGACAACGAGCAGTGGTGGGGCTGCCAGAACGCTCCCCAGAACAGGGGAGCACCTTCCCAGGGAACAAAGTTGACAGGGAAGAGAGTAACGAAACACACTTTTTAATTTTTCCAGTACCTTTGTGCTACCGGGTCAGTACATCGGTTACACACACGCCCACCCCACTAGCAAGTCCTCCCAAAGCCGCCTTCTTGCTGGGAAGGAAAAGTGAAATTCCTTCCCAGACCAGGGGCACTACTCACAAGGAGCAGCTGGAGACTGCAGTCTGCTGTCAAAGAACATAACTTTTTCCCAAGTGACCCACGCATAAGCACAGGAAAGTCATTCCGGTCAGTGAAAGAAAGCTGTGCCCTCAGGGAAGTAAAAGGAGGATGGGAGGAAAGAGGGGAAGTGGGCAGAATCTTACCCAGGCCTTGATTCTGCTGTTCCCACTCGATGGCGTCGGGCACCTGGTAGGTGGCTCCTTGCAGCGGGTCCCCAAGTCCCCGCTCCAAGCCAGGCTCCTGGGAGGTGACCCCGGGGAGAGTAAAGCCCGGCAGCTCAGTGTCACCACCGAAGCTCTCATCTAGGGAGTCTGTATCTTTATCTTCCTCCTCTTCCTCCTCATCGTCCTCCTCTTCGTCTTCATCTTCATCCTCTTCATCCTCATCGTCTTCTCCCTCTGGGAAACAGAAACAAAGCCATAATGAGGAGCACATTCTCAAACAAATCCATCTCCTGAAATGACCCAAGCTCTACACATTCACTGCACTCGACCTCTTCTAACCAAACTTCGAGCCAAAGTTGAAAATGGGAGCCTTGAGGAATTATGTGCCCACCCAGCTTTCAAGGCCGCAGTTATGCCAAACACACATCATGCATCATGTTTCTGGGGAGTTAAAGTTCATGTGTTATGAATTGTTATCAGAGCAAGGCAGGGAAGAAATCCGACCATCTCTGCTTTCAGGAGGCCATGAAGGGTTTATCTGTTAGAAATTACACCAAAATGGCAAGAGAACATAAAAGGATCTGATACCATCCCTTTATATCTCATAACATTAAAGACAAGTGGGCCGGGGATGCAGCTCAGCAGCATAAGCGCTTGCCTGGCAAGCCTGAGGTCATGAGTTCGATTCCTCGTACAAAAAAAAAAAAAAAAAAAAATTAAAGACAAGGATTCATCCTATTGGCATGATTTTCTCTGTTCTTTCACATCAGTGAGTAGAACTCACAAGCATGTTATGTCAAAGGCACAGGCCGATGGAGGGAGGGTGACTGGAAAACTGGGAACAACCGCACCAGCATTCCCAGCCCTACTCCAAAGAGAACTGGGAAATGGGCCCTTTATTCAGGACAGTCAGTAAAGCAACCCATGAAAAACATCCCATCACTATCACCAGCATAGGCATTGACATTTACACCTGGTCATTTCCATTGCTTCAGATGGCGGGGAGAAGAAGAGCCCCACCTGTTCTGTTGCCCAGGTTCAGTTTTCTAGGAGGACTTCGAGTTGCCTCCTTGTTGTGGATGTGCCTCCAAAGCCCAGAGGAGCGCTCAGTGTGCACTGAGCTCCTCACCTGTGGTCTCCCCTCGGCCTCACCCGGCGCTGACCACAACAGGGACGCCAGCCCAGCCGGTGGAGAGGACAAAGGAACAGACAGCTGGCACCGCCGAGAAGCCTGAGACTCCCCTTGTCTGTTCTCAGGCAGTTTTCTCCACACAGCCCCTTCCTCAGTCAGACAGAGGTTTCTCAAGCTTTAACTGTTACCTTTATTCTTTTTTTACCATGAGAATGTGTTTCTTTTGCAAGTGACTTTTAATTCTTTTGCCACATTTTCCCCATATTTTTATATAACTATGCCTTTTTTGCTAGGTTCTCTAAATATTAGAATTTTTCATAAGTTAAAAATGGGAAACTACATTCTTTATGCTGAAAAAACAACACATTTCACTTAGAGATTGTCAGCTTTTTGAACATCAGAAACTGAAGCTGCTGGGGGTCACATTTATCTGTAGGGCCCAAGATCACTCTGGGGTCTAATTAGGAAAATATCTCTATAAACTGAAAAAAAAAACTCATCTTCAAGTAAAACACGCTGAGTTACGTCTTTTAACCTTATAGTCCTTAATACCTGTCACTATTCCAAAATTTAAACAGACATTCATTCAGCAACTAACAGGTGCCACTGCAGGGGCCAGGGATAAAGCTGTAACATCTCTGCTTCTGGGACCAACACCCATCTCAGGGAGACACACAGCCAACAGATTCGCAAACAGACGCACATCTCTATGCTCTGAGCACAACTGTCGAGAAGACTGAAAAATATCAGGTGCTATTATTTTAGATGGAGAGATATAGGAAAGCTTTTCTGACAAAGTACAGTTTGAAGAGAGACCATACTAAAATAATGAATTCCTTTTAATTAATTGATTTTTTACAGAGATATGTCTTGCTGTGCTGCCCAGGGTGGCCTCAATCTTCTAGGCTCAAGTGATCCTCCTGCCTCAGTCTTCTGAGCAGCTGGGACTACAGAAGTGAATCACTACACCTCGCTAAAATTTTACGTATATATTTAAGGTGATTCAGATTTAACCCCAGCCTCACAAATGCTGGGCACCACTAAACTACACTCTGATCCTGGTCTTTATATTTGAAGCATTATAAAATTACTTTTACTTCGCTTTGCTTCCCACAGACATTGGGTGTCTGCACTGATAGAATAACCATGATAGCTGATACTTATCCTTTCACTCCCGTATTCTCTGGCTAGTGCAACTTCTATTGGTCTTTGACATCTTCAGTGAAAGTGTAGGACTATCAAGAGTGAGTGCCCCTTTAGCTTAGTCCACCCTTTTATCTCAAAGAGAAGGCCGCATTGAGCAGACCCAGGCCAACAGGAAGGTTTCTGTCTTTACCATGTGATTTGCAGGGCACTGCCAGGTCAACCTGTGTCACAAACTCTCCTAACTCACCGACCGTGGCTCCAGCCCCTCCCCTCCCTCTGTCTGCCCCACATGCCCAGCACATGATATCACCCATGGAGTCTGACAGTAACACCAGGAGCACTCCCTTGGCAGATCTATCTGAGTAATACACAACTTCTCCTACCGGAAAGTAGACAGAGCTCTGATTCATATGTGGTGAAAGAGGAAAAATCTCCCTGTGCCATCAGCCTCACCGGTGCTCAGCACCAAGCAACTTAGAAGATTTACTATTTGTTACTTTTAGTATTTGAAAATCACAGGGTAAGCCGGAGATGGTAGCTATAGAAAAAGGAAGTTTCAATAACTGCAGAGAAGATAGAAAGACAGGCCTTCAAGGAGATTTCTATTCCAGCTTAGCCTTATTCTCTCAGTATCTTTTTCTGCCAGAAAATATTCTTTTTGTAGGAGCCTATAATCATTTGGTAGCCATTAAACACCTTTAGTCACATATCACCTGTACCCTGCTGCAGTTACCAATGGAACACCACTATTACAGAGCAATAACACAACAGGTATAATCACTTTTCCTGACAGTAGCAAAATAATGTATTTTTAGCACCTTGACCCAGAAAGTAGAAAACTATGGAATAAAGGAAGGACAGCTGTGTCCTCACAATAACCAGTGCCCAATAAGTATTTATTACACTAATGGAAGGACAGAGGGAGGGAGGAAAGGAGAAAGGGATGGTGGGATGGACAGCAGGCTGGATGGATGGATGGATGGATGGATGGATGGATGGATGGATGAAGGGATGAAGAAAGGGAGGGAGGATGGAATATAGGGATGGAAGGAGGGACGGACAGATGGAGGGAGGAAGGGATTGAGGGATAGATGGAGGGATGGAGGGATGGAGGGATAGAGGGAGGAATAGATTAACAACAGGATAGATACAGTTTTTTAAAACCCAGATCTCAGAACATATAAAGTAACATCTAAAAAAACAGCAACATATTCATCTGAATAATCTTACAACAAACAAAAAGGCAACACATAAAACCAACAGATGTAAAACAAACCAAAGTTCTATGTATTCATCTTCTAGTCATCAAAACTGAAAAGAGAAGCCAATTTCTCAACCAGTTACACCCAAGAGAAAAGCGATATGAACACCTCTGAACACAAAGGGCAGCGCCATGTCAGAATGCTCAGAAAATACAGCTGTGCCAAAAGCAATAACAGGATCCCTGCTCTGAAGACCTAAAAGTGAAGAAGAGTATGTTCAAATAGCACTACCAGGTCCTAAAGCATATAGGGAAATGCTCTCTTGAATTTTGCAACTTTGTTTAACTAAGCTCCAAAATTTCTGTTTATGTGAACACCAGATAGGTGTGTGGGTCAAGGTAAACACCACACATACACACCTCCACAGCCCCCCACACACACATATACATCATTCTTTATGAAGATGGCACAGAAAAAGACAAAGTAAGCCTCTAAAATTGAACAACTGCTGTTGGTTCACCCTAGTAACAGATACACCTTATACTTCAACAGCGAGTGACAATACCCAGAGACTTAAGGTTGTCTTTGTCCCGAGAGTCCCTTAAAATGACTGCAAACCAGGAAAAGAAGGTTTGGAAAGTGCAGCCCAAGGAGCTCCTTCCAGCTGTTCCACTGAGAACGGAAAGGGCATGCTCCGAACTGGCACGTCTTTCTCCCAGGTCAACTTCCCATTGATTATTCCATAACTCCAGACAGTGACACGGACACCAACAGCATCCCGAGGCATGGGAAGGTTTCTTAGTAATCATCTCTCCTCACCATCACACTGTATGGCCTCCACTCCCAAATACATACATATGACATACATCATACAAATGCCTTTTTCTCTTGTTGAGCCAACATCCCCTTGAAGGCTCCAGGATTCCACTGAACGCAGGACGCACAGTCAGGATCAACCAAAGCACCCTGCCCTAGAGCTAGTGGCTGTCCCCGGAACACCCTGATCATGATCTGGCCCTTGAGAATCATCTCATACTCACGCTGGCCTGTCCACTGTCAAGAACTCCAGCGCCCAGCAAGAGTATAAAACATGACTTAGGCATCAGTGGAAACAGCTCAGCGTGCAGCAGGGACTGGGACATGGCTCCATGTCAGACTGCTGTGCTCAAGGCAAAGTGAAACAGTTAAAAACGAGAACTATAAACCATCAAACACCCATGTCAGGTAGCATGGCCATGGCTAAGAGACACTTGGTGAGGTGAAGTTCTATGCCCCGAGCTCAAACTGAGAAAGTCCTGTTGCAAGTGGCAGGGAGAAACACTGTGTTGGGACAGTGGTCTCTCCAAGCTGATTTTATCTGTCTGGATTCTCTCCAACAAAATCTCCTAAGAGCTGCCTTGTGACCCATAACAATGATTTGTACGTACACGGGCTTTTACAACTCCTAAGGAACTGGATGGCTTTGCAGGCACTGCCCTCCAAGCCTACCTCGTTAGCCAAACACCGAGCAAGCAAGTCCACACCTTTGTTTTACGCACAGGGTACTTCGCTTGTCAAGTATGACTACCTCAGGCACTCAAACAGAATCACAGCAGATTCTGAGTTTGTTCGAACTCAGAATTTTTGCCTCTCTCCAGCAGAACTGTTTTCTTTATTTGCAAACATTTCTGCCTAAGGTTCTCAAACACCAAATTCTCCTTTTGCTCACAACTACATTGCTGCCAGGTCCATTTGCTGTTTCACAGCCAGTTCCT